ACTGATCTGCCTCACCCGGGAAGAGCGCAATGATGGTGCCAACTTGGGCCAGTGAAGCAACATCCTCCACAACTAGACTGAAGAACAAAAACGACAGTAACTTGTCTGTTCCCCTTCCCCCAATTCCCCAGCACTGTTCCCATCCACCCAATTCCCCAATAAAAATCTTTAAAAAAAAAAAAGACTCCCACCATCCACCCAAGAATCACTAACTCGTAGTTTGAAATTTATGTCAAATACATCAACAGTTTATATTTAAACAGTATACTAGGGAAATAACTGGTTTGATCACGGATTTCCTGCAAAATGGACAAGACTAAGTCAAAGTACCTTGTTCATGTAGGACTCTAGATTATTTAACCCAAATCAGTAATATCTGCATCAGTAAAGCATTGCCTGCATGAGCTTAGCCTGAATATGAAAATATCCTTTGGTCGAGAAGAAGGTGTTTTCATGCAGCTCATCTAAACTGAATTCTTTGTGCATTGAAAAAAATCTTAAGCTATTTTTTTTCACGTCACTAATAATAATAAAGAATGGATAGAAGCAGTCTTTCAAGAGGTATTTTTTTCATTTATAGCTACAAACCTCTGTGGGAATCAAAAGATGTAAATGGCATAATCCCTCCCCTTCAGGAATTTACAATCTAGTTAGGAACTCCAATCTGACACTGGAGAGTAATACAGTTGGAGGTTGTGTGTTGAAGACTGTCAGTGCAGCAGATCAGAGATGGGTCTGACTGGGGATGGCTGCGGGGGTAAATATGCTGAAGACGACAGAGCAGCACAAAGAGATTGGGTAATATGAAAGTGAGAACTTTAGCTTCCTGAAAATAACATTGTTTATAATAACTTTTACTATGGGAAACTATAAAATGAGTATCTCTTGCCTTGGACTGTCATACACGGTGGCAGTTAAGTTTGCGAACTCATCCTAGAAAGAGTGCTGCATACCTCATTGCTGAATATTTCACTGTGGTCACCTTCGAAGTGTTCCCCTTGGGAAGCTATGCACAAACACCAGTACCTAGTCCACCCTTCAAAGCAGTTTTGGAACTCTTTCTGGAATGGCCATCAGACCTATCTTATTACCCTTGGTGTCCTGAATGTCATCAAAATGTCTTCCTTTCAATATTTCCTTTATCTTCGAGTAAAGAAGTCATTGGGGGCCAGATCAGGGGAGTAGGGAGGGTGTTCCAATATAGTTATTTGTTTCCTTGCTAAAAAGTCCCTCACAGACAGTACCGTGTGAGCTGGTGCATTGTCATGATGCAAGAGCCATGAATTGTTGGTGAAAAGTTCAGGTCATTTTCATCTAACTTTTTAATGCAGCCTTTTTAGCACTTCCAGATAGTAAACTTGGTTAACTGTTTGTCCAGTTGGTACAAATTCATAATGAATAATCCCTCTGATACTAAAAAAGGTTAGCAACATCGTTTTGACACTTGATTTGGACTGACAGATCTTTTGGTTGTGGAGAATTGGCTGACTTTCATTGTGCACTTTGACGCTTTGGTTCAGGGTTGTATTGGCACACCAATGTTTCATCACCAGTGATAACATGGCCCAAAACATCATCTTGCCTCTCCAAAAGGTCTTGGCAAACTTTAACTCTACTTTGCTTTTGTTCATCGGTGAGCTCCTTTGGGACCATTTTTGCTCACACCTTTCTCATGCCAAGATTTTCAGTTAAGATTTTCCTAACTGTTTCTCTATTGATGTTTACTTGGTCTGCTATGCTTCTCATAGTCGTTGACAATTTTGACACACAGTTTTATGAATTTTCGCAATGTTTTCATCACTTCTGCTCATTACTGGCCACCTTGACCTTTCTTCATCAGTGATGTGTTTGCTCTCTTCCCTCAGAAAAATGTTTAATCCATCTGTACACTGCCGTTTTCTTCATGGCATCATCCCCATAAACTTGGACTAACATGTCCCTGATTTCACTTCCTCTCTTGCCAAGTTTAACAAAAAATTTAATGTTTGCTCATTGCTCTAATTCAAGCTCAGACATTCTCGCAACGGCACACAAACAACCACAACAACGATAATGAACACCACTCAGCAAGACACCGCCACATGTTGACATGAACACAGCTGTGAGACATGATATACCAAGGTTATGAAACCTTACCGAGATGTTTGTACAGTGCTGTCAGTGTAAGCACATGGCAGCAAGTTCATGAACTTAATTGTCAGACCTCACCACAATTGTTCTGATGCTCATATGAATCTGCTGCCTTGGTACATATTTGAGTAAATGAAAGCATGTATATATTAAAGGTTTTTTAAAGGTATTATTTATTTTACAAATGTAAGGTAGGTGTAGAATATTAATAATAGTTAATATTTATGTTCCACTTATATTCTAGATACTATATTTATAAACATTATCTGATTTAATTCTCATTGTAGTCCTATGATGTAAATATAATTATTCCCAGTTGTAGGTCAAGACATAGGCTCAGCAAAGTTCAGTAGCTTGCTGAGTTTCATAGCCAGTGAGTGGTGAAGCTAGAGGTTTAAATCCAAATCTGACGAGTCAGTGCTGTTTGCCATTCTTTAGTATTCTACACTTTCCATAATATCACTGCTTATTGAAGTCAGATTATTATTAATTAGTGTTATGTCTAAGTTCTTCATTGGGCTAATTTAGAAACAACCTGAATATGATCCATTAAAATGACCATAGTAGAGGACTGTTCTAAGTGCTCATATAAAGTTGCCCCAGTCATTTTCATCAAAAAAGTTTGGGGCAGTCAGTATAATAAATGATCATTATTTTTCACTGGATTTAAAAACCATCCAAGCAGTGGGTTAGGCAGGATCTTGAAAACATGGGTAAAGTACCTATTTATTTTGTTTGTTACTATGAAGTTGCCTTCGGTGAGAATTATGCTTTCTATTCCGTGAATTGCTACCACCAAGTTCCATGTAGTTAGCATTTACAGAACACTTTTCTTCAGAAAATCAAAAGTTCTGTGGATTACACATCACATACTAAAATGTAGAGAGTGTAAGGCATTTTGTATCAGCAACTATATATTTGACACAGCCTTGGCAATGAAGACATGCTTGTTAGTTCAGAGACATTTGTTGTGCAAAATAGAAACATCAGGATAAGCTCTGGGGTATGTCCAACAAGATGGAAATCTTTCAGGACTAGGATTATATGTCTTCATTTTTGGCCCCCTTTTCTCCAGTGCCCAAATATTGAGTGCCAAGCGTTCATAAAGACATGATACTGATGCATTGAATTGCATGTAATAATAAGCACAGGTGTCAGTGTTTGGAGAATGTGTGTATAAACTACCCATGGCCACTTAGGAAAACCTGTGAAAGTTTACTGTTCTGCCCACCAGGAATGGGAGAGTTTCCTCAGGTGGGAAGGATGCAACTAAGAAGGAACAAGCAGCGTTGTGTCTTGTGCTTTCTTAGTTTATGGAAAGGAGCTGTGACGTAGAATAGGTATTCATTCATTTCTTGGTTCATTCATTCTTTTGTTCATTAAAAAAAAAAGACAGTGAAAAAATTTTAAATGTGGTAAGTAAAAATTAACATATAGGAAACTAGTATCAGTAATCAAAAGGTTGTCTCCTTTTCTGACACAAATTGATTATAGTTTAACCTTCTGGCTGCAGTTCTCACTTCTTTAAATGAGAACTATATTCCTAGAGACTCTGAGAAGATGACTATTTCACTCAGTGGGATAATGACAAATAAATCATCCAGTAAACTATTTTCCCAGGCAAGGGTAATAATTTGATGTGATGGTAATGTGACAGATTAAGGGAAATAAAAATGCTGACTTTAGCTTTTAGCTGTGCAGATACAAGTACCTGTTAAAAAAAAAAAAATCAGGAACCTATGGTGGTTTTCTGCACCCAAATTGTTTTCTAGATGAGCACACAGCACTTTAAACCCTGGCCAGGCACTGGTTTATTTCTTAGCTCTGGTCCTCTGTCATGCAAGTCTGTGCCCAAATGCAGGTTCTACTGCTGGACTCACTTGGTGCTTTTTCCCAGGTGATGACCTCACGATTTATGGGGTCGTAATGCAACGGTGGAAGCCCTTTCAGCAAGATGTGCGCTGTGAAGTGGAGATAGTCCTGAAAGCCAATTATGTCCAAGTAAATAATGAGCAGTCTGCGGGCATCATCATGGATGAGGAGGTCCGAAAGGAATTTGAAGATTTTTGGGAACACTACAAGAGCGATCCTTTTGCAGGTATGTGATTAAGGGTATAGAGCTGACTACTGTTCATGGCATTTCACTCAATAGTTAAATATGTTGTCTGTGATTAGGGGCAGCCTTACATGCTGTACAACTCAGTGATTGAGTTCCAAGAGAAGTAGCATTGGTCAGTCCCTCTAGCCACAGTCTCCCTTCGAAGCCCTATTCTGACAGTCTTTTCTAATTAGAGATCTTCCTGGAAGATTAAGGATAATTAATAATCAGGAAAAGGTCAGCAACAGCATTGCCACAAGTTTGCGAACTTAATTGTCAGACCTCTAAGTATAATAACCTTGTGACAAATGTAAGTAGGAAGACAGGGAGACAGTAAGTAGGGAAAATCTTTTTTAGTGTGAGCAGATTCTTAGTTGTCTTGGTCCTTTGTCATGCTTTTTTAGTTTCCTAAGTACCCAGTACTAGCACACGAATTTCACCACTTCAAAGTATACATGTGTTCTTTGGGATGGGGTGGGGTAGGTGAGGGTGAGGAGCTGTATCCAAAGGTGTCTTCATTTTGCTTGTCTAAAGCCAGGAATTCCTTCACTGCCCAGCTCTTGGAGGTTGACCTGCTTCATTAAGACCTGAGACTGTGGGTATTGACAAGGAGGAGGCAAAGGCTTTATTCTCATCTGCAGTGACATCAGGGAATCCCATGATGGAGGTGCTTAGATGCTGGATAGAAACCCAAATGCAGGGTTTGGGGTCTGTTGGGCCATCAGCCCGCCCTGGGGTTACTCAGTTATGTTAGATCTTAGTTCTCTTCATTGGGGTAACTGAAGGCTATGTAATAGTAGATTACAAGGCCAGAGCCACACTATTAACATGGTCTAGAACCAGAGGTTTTGGAGGAAGGTGGGGGGGGGGGCAGTATCCATTCTAACACATTTTCCCCCATGATACAGCCACGGGAGCTTCTATTGACAGAACCCAGGGAACCGAGTTTTTCAACTTTAGACAACAAATTAGGGGAATGGCCCTTCCCCTTTGCTTTTCTCTGGTACCTCAGACCTGCCCTCAATAGTGTATCCTTTGTGTTGACTACAGTGTAAGGAAATCTTAAGATGAGAAATAAGCACAAGTAATACGGGTAATGTAATTGTTAACCATTGAGTAGCTCCTACTGTATGCCAGGTATTATTTTTCCTTTGTGCTATACACTTATTGACTCCTTTGACCCTCGACAATTCTGTGTGATACTATTACCTCCATTTTACAGATAAGGAAATGGAGGCAGAGAGGTTAAGAACCTTGCCCAAGGTCAGACAGCTAGTGAGTAACAACACTGGGATGTGAATCGTGGCATCTGACAGCAGAGCCCGTGCTCTTTACCACTGGGATGTGCTTCCTGTTGGCACCTCAGTCTGAATCCGTCTTGCCTCAACAGAGCTGGCTCTTTGGTTTAGTTTTTGGCTTAGATGTCGCCCAGGTTAGTTTGCCTACGCTTAAGCCTGCTTGTTGGGGCTATTTTTTTCTATGTGGAATCTCTAGTTTCCGGTCAGAATTGACCTCCCTGCTGTCAGGTCATTTGCTTAGATCCCAGGACTTTCTTCCTGGTTTTTCCTCTGGGCTTTTCTAGCTCAGGAAAGGAAGGGATTCCCTCCAGCAGTTAATGAACTTCCAGGATTTACTAATTCTTTTTGGTCCTCTTTTTACTAGAATATTTTCTTCACCAATTTTGCCACCCCAGGTCACATCACCATTGCTTAGTTGCTACTGAGTTAATTTTGATTCATTACAAAAAGCAGCCTTTGTGTATTGGACCATGAATCATGGAGAAAAGCCTTTTCCTTTCCCTTGATGGTTTGGCAGGAAAGTTTCTGGAACTGGAATCATCAGCTAAAGGAGTACTTGTATGATTATTTTCCTCCTCAAAACAGCTATCACTGAAACATGAGTACAAACTCAGAGTTAAGAATAAAAGTCCTGAAACATATAAATTAGTTACCAGCTTGTGGACATTCATATCTGGTAACATGAATGTGGATAACATCACAGAGGTGAATTCTGTGGAAGTTGAGACAGGCTCAGGAAAGGCTTGTTAGAATCTTATGGGTTCCTCTGTTGGTTGATGAGGCCAGTGACCCAGTGAAATACCTACTTTATTCATGGATTGGGTAGGCAGATTCTCAGATTTTGTGCTTTGACATTTCATTTCATTTGACATGAAAAAAGAACCTTAAAACACTGGTATTCTCATAATTAATGCACATGATCAGAAGAATCCAAGACCTCCAGGTTGGATTGCTAGAATTGATGTTTATAGTGATCTTTTTAATTAATACCCCAATACCCTAGTAACTTATTCTAACTAAAACAATTTATCAGATTGCTCAGAGCAAATGCTGAATTGACTTCCAAAGTTGGATTGATTTTACTTCTCTTACAACTCTGTATTTATTTAGTACCTGTTGTATTTATTTAAAGGTTACTGGCTCCTACAATCTGATTCATTGCTTCTGAAATCAAACATCTTCCTTTTATTTAGGCAATGGAGTAATTTTACTGAAATAGTATAGGCACTATTTTGTTTTTTTGTTGTTGTTTGTTTTTAAAGATTTTGTTGGGGAAGGGGAAGTGTTGGGGAATTGGGGAAGGGGACCAGCTAAGTTGTTGTCCGTCAGTCTTAGTTGTGAGGGCGCAGCTTGCTCAGCTCCAAGTCCAGTCGCCATCCGACCGCTCTTCGGCACCTCGCAGCTGCTCAGCTCAAGGTGCTGTGTTCAGTCTTAGTTGTGGGTGGGCGTAGCTCACCATCCCATGCTGGAGTTGAACCAGCAACCTTGTAGTTAGGAGCATGTGCTGTCACCAGCTGAGCCATCCTGCCACCTGTTGGCAGCTCACTGACCCATGTGGGAATTGAACCAGTGAACCTGTTGCTCAGAGCTCATGCTCTTAACCAACTGAGCCACTCGGCCGGCCCCCAGCCACTATTATGTTTAAGGGATGGCCTGATGAGGCCGAAAAGGGAATTCTTTTCTGTCCCTTCTAAATTTATGATAAATTTATAGAAACTTAAACATGTAGCACCCAGGAATAAAACAGACTTTTCATCTCATGGCGTTAGTAAGAAAAGTACTTTTGGGACCAGAACTAAATTAATCACTCCTCGTAGTCATTTGGAAATGGTCCTCTTGGTCACTTTCGATGGTAGAGTGTGTTGATAGGAAAATAGGACTAGAAGGGAAATTTCAGTTAGGATTTCTTGAAAATTGCTGGTAACTTCTGATCTTTCTGCCTTTGCTAGGAAGAAATGAAATATTGGCTAGCTTATGCCCTCAAGTTTTCGGGATGTATCTAGTAAAGCTTGCTGTGGCCATGGTGCTGGCTGGTGGGATTCAAAGGATCGATGCTACAGGAACACGAGTCAGAGGTTAGTACCTATTTAAACATTTTGAGAAGTAGTAACACATATAAGGAGAGAAGCTAGAACTTTTCTCTCCTAAATAAAAAATTGCATCTTGAGCTTTATTTTCCAAATGTAATCTTTTAAAGCTGACAGTTGTTTGACTAATACTTAACCCAACATCTGTATACCAGGAGCTACTTTCTAGAATTCCAAAGACCAATCCCAAGTGTTTTCATGAGTATATAGCTTTGCTCCAACCTCTAAGGATGCCACAAAATCTTTACATGCCTATTACTGTTTTTCGTTGCATCCCCAGTCTGTCTTCAAGAGGAAGAGATTAGAAATAGTGCTTTATAATGTCTCCACGTCAATATCTCTCCATCTGTGACTGTCAGTGTGTTTATCTCAGACTGCTGCTCTCAGTCATCTGCCTGCCGATTCCCCTTCTGCTGGTGGGTAACAAATGTGCCATCTGCCATGTGGTACTGCTGTAGGTCACACATTCAAGCAAAGATTACTCTAAGTATGTAATTACGTCCAAATGGCAGAAAGCTCTTTGGGGCCAACACACTTAACTGACCTGAATCTGGCATAAAGTAGACTAAACCATAAGAGTACAACGACATTATTGTCAAGCAGGCTGTTAGTAGGTACTCTAAAATCATATAGTACAGTATGGAAATAGTAAGTATAAGGTTTATGTATATTGTATGTTTTGATTATCTACTGTTTGCAAGGCACTCTGCCAAATGTTGGGCTTAAATAGGAGTTTCCTAATATATTTAGAAAATACTCAAATATTACTAAAGAAACTTGTTTGATCAGTAAAATAATACATACCACAGGGTATTCTTAAGTTCATTTGTATTACATTTGAAAAATAAGAGTACTTTAAGACAGATATTTCATTCAACTAAAATTTTCATAAAATGAAAAGGTTTTCACTTAACTGTTGGAATCATTAAGTGATGTGATATTTATAAAGCACTTATAAAGTCCCACTTTTTAAAAAAGTGCTTGAACAAAACACTTATATGGCTTGTATGAAGATTTAATCACAGTAGTTTGGTATTTAAAAATGGATTGAAAAATAGTCAGAAAGTTTATAAGCCAAAATTTTAAAAAATGTTAAACATAGGCTTAACATCTGGAAATAGCACAGAATCTATTAAAAGAATTTAGATTTTAAATGTCCCATTCAGAAATTAAAGGTTGTTATTTATGATGACAGTTAACTTTTAAATCTTTCTTCAAATGACCTTAAAAGTAATATATAAAATATAAATTGTGTTGGCATTCCAAGTGGACCATTTTCTTTTTAACTACTTATTCATGGGCCTTTTCATACATTTAAAACTTTACATTATTTACTTTTTTCTAGGTGAATCTCATCTTTTATTGGTTGGAGATCCTGGCACAGGGAAATCTCAATTCCTCAAATATGCAGCAAAGATTACACAGAGATCTGTGCTCACCACAGGAATTGGATCTACTAGTGCAGGTATTTTACATGACAATTTTAATTGATTTAATGTTACTGCAGAAGCTAACACAATGGTTTTTTTCTTATGAAAAGTGCTTATAATTGGAAAATTTTCAAGTTAATTTTTGAGTTACTGTCAAAAATGGAAAGAAATACGTAGCATTTCTTTTGTAGCTAAGAAAATATTTTAGAAGCTCCACCATCACTTAGTTTTCCAAAAACTTATCCCATGTATCTTTTTTCATCTTAGTTTTTCAATGATCCTATTTGATTTTCTCATTCTCTAAGTGATTACTTTCCTACACGCTTATGCAGGAAAAAATATGTATCACCTGGCATTTTATGAAGACCCAACTAACAGAACACTCACATAAATAGGAGGAAAAACTCACTTTACAAAAGTAGGTAGTGTTGAGCTTAAAGCATTTTCATGCTCATAAGTCTCACCGGGAACAGAAGCTCCTATAGGAAATTCTTGAGTAGATTATGTTTTAGTATGTGGAAAGCATATTTTCATCACTGCAATGTGGAGCTTTAATCATACATTGTAATGATTCGTCAACAAGTACATTTAAAAGCCTTTGCAGATAGAATGTCAAATTTCGATTATAAAGTTACTTTAGGAAAAAATTATTTAAAAAAAGTTTTGATGCCATTTTATATTTTTACACCATTATGATTGGGGAAATATTTCTCCTTTATTTAATAGGCCACTGTTTCGCACATTGTGTAAATGTTATTTGCTACTTCTTAGGGGAGCCTAATCACCATGGCCTGTGCTCAGATTTCTTATGAGCAGCTTATATTTTATACTTATAGAGCAGCAAATGCTCCATTAATGGTCCTACATAATGAGAGCCCCATTCTAATAGGAGCCCTCAGGTTTTGGGATATAACTGAGCAGTACATTAAGAATTGACAAGAAAGGATTTGTGAATTGAGAGTGGTGGATGAGCTTCAGAATACAGGAAGGGAAGTAGGCAAGAATATAAAGAACACTTCATATACATTTTTAAATTCTTATGTCCCAGTGTTCTAGAGTTCTGTATAACATGATACCAACAACAAACAATAAAGGTGTTTCCAAGTAATTATGTGGAATGTTTCCTAAATTAATTATATGGAGTGCCAAGAATGAGTCTAAGCTATCTGTGAGCTAGTAATTTCAGAGTAGTTGGACAATTTTAAAGTGAATGGCTATTGATTCACTACATTAGCACTTTTCCCCTTTTTTAATGCCAAGATCATAATCCAAATATGAGGGTAAAAGACAGGTAGAGGGAATATAAATTTTAGGACAATAGAAAAGTTATTGCTACTTATCTACCAAAAGGGCCAGACAAGCCTTTCTTCAAACTATGTATCACAACCCATTAGAGTCCTAAAAGTCAATTCTGAGTCAAAACCAGCACTTTCAAAATGAAATACAGTAAGACACCAGAATACACTGCACACAGTAAAGGCGCACTATAAGGGTGCATGTTCATGAAAATTATTAATATATAATGCATATTTGTTATGGGGCCTTACTTAAATTTTTTTTTTCTCTTTACCATTGATTCAAGTTTTGAAAACTGCTTCTATAGACTTTCTTGGTAAAACTAGAAACCCCAAATCTTAAAAGCAGAGGGTAAGACACATGGAAGTCTAAGGTTATAGAAGGTAATAAAATAAGCAAATGTGTGCACTCCTCAGACTTCTGCTCTGCTCAAATGATATCCTCACTCCCTCTGACCTACTCACCTATCTCTTCTGTGGTGTAATTTGCTTATGTTTATCTTCTCAGGACACAGCTATCTAGTATGATCAAAGAGGGGAAAAACAGTTCTACACCTTATAGCTATAATTCAGATAGTCTTAAATGAGGCTAAAAAGGGGCGGGGCGGGGTGGGGACTGTAGTTTCTCAGTTCCTAATGTTTGAATTCTAAATCTATTTTTAATTTTAATTTTTAAAAATTATAGAACCAAAACAACTTTTAATATTTTTAAGTCTCAAACTTCTGTGAAAATTGGCTGTCAGTTTACAAATTGAAGTAAAAACCTAACCCTTAGATGTCAATACAAACCAATATTATAATAATTAGAATAAAAACTCAGCAGTGAATTGCATTATTGGTAATTTGGCTTATATATGCTTTATTTATAACAAGCACATATCTTGCTCTTGTTATATTAATCACTGAGCTCTTTGTTGGAAAGTATTACTTTTATTTTCATTTTAATATTTTAACATTTTCTTTTAATTGCAATTAGACAAAAATGAAATTTTCTTCATAGTTTTAACAGTAGGATGTATTTTACTTTTAAAGTCTATGAACTAGTTAGTGGACAGTATTTTAATAATCTGGTATATTAAATTTCAAAGTTTAACATTTAGCAAAATTTTGTTTCACAAATTCACTTTTTTAGATTGACAGGAAATATGTACAACTTATATTCCATATTCAGACAAATGCCCTTTTCCCTTCCTCAAAATAAAAGCTTTAAAAAGTGCAGTATAAAAGTTTTAGATATGAAGGCACTGCATAACTCTGCATCATATGGCTGATATCTTGCTTAGCAGCAAGAGGAATGAGAATATTCTATACTTAATTTAATGGAGCATTAGAAACTTTCTGAGGAACGATCTAGCTCTCATCAAAGAACCTTTTGGCCCATTTAGTTAATGAATTCCTTTCCAAGATTACTTTGTAAAAAATTATCTGGAAAAGCTATCTAGAATATGTTAATCATAAATACGCCTAATTGTATTCTGCATGAGTGTCAGGGAATATGGAGAAGAACACTACATGTGTGAAAATGTTTCCAAAATAGTAACTTGCCTATTATGATAAAGCTATATATACCTCCCCAAATCCAGTTTTTATATAAACACTGCTAACAAATGATCTATGAAAACAATTTTAAAGAGTTAAGTTTATAGTATTTTTATAAATCTAATTTATTCGTCTCCTATTCTTAAACTCAGGGAGTTTGTATCTGCTCTTGACATGTTGCATTCACTCGGTAATAATGATGTATGACTCAAGAAGTGTTCTGATGTCCTCAACTGCTACAAAAAACAAAAACCATAGCCAGAGGACTATATAAACAATTAACTACATTTGTTATTATCTTAGAAACCAAACTGAATACTAGCTAACATTATGTGAACTGTTGTAGGTGGCTTCAAGATGGCCGGGAAAATCAGATCCTAAAGTTCTTAGTAGCATATAGTTGACTTCAAATCCCTTATTTAATGACACGCCAAAAAAGGATGGAAATTCACCCCTTAAATTAAACCAAACTATATGTTATTACAGAAAGAAATATTTTAGTTGAAGTGAACTTTGTTCTTTTGAAGGCCAGTAAAATAATGGTCTGAAGGTTACTGTCCAAGAAGCTAAGACATCTTTACAACCTGGTCTAATGATTCACATTTCTTTTTAAGTGCTTTAATTACGTATCAGAGGAGAAGAAAATAATATATATGTTTTAATCAGATTAGTTTCAGAACAAATAAAATAACACATTAGAGAAAAAAGTTACTTAAAAATAGTTGTATTTATATTCCACAATTTGCTCAAATACTGGTTTTCTTATAAACTTTCTACAGGATGTTTTTAAAACAAATTCTTCACATTGTGTCTTGACTATGACTTAATGGAATTTCAGGGAAATAGTTCTGTGTGTTTTTATAGCTTAATTTGTACTAGAGGGATGGCAGGTGGTCACATGCAGTCCATGTGGGATTCTAACATGACATTTAGTGAGTTTTCTGACGTAGACCATCCCTTTGATGCTGAAGGTAATGCATCTGTTGAAAGAAGTGATTGTAGATTTGGATTACTGCTCTCTGCATCTTCCAGTTTTTCTGTGTTATCTTCCCAATTAATGTGAAATCTTGTGACTCTGGGATTGGATGCCAGAATGTTCCTTTGAAGCTAGAGGAAGAGGGACATATATAAATGGTAAATATGAAGGAAGATCACCATCTACAAATAGGAGCTTAATAGAATGGTTCTTTATGTTAGTCCTCCTAAAGCGCTAAAGCTCATATACATACAAAGGTATAATAAGTCAAATAAAGCACCTTAAACATAACTAATAAACAAGGACTAGGGCTGCAGCAAAGAAGTTACTGTAGCCTAACAGAAACAAGATATGGAGAATCTGAGGGAATTCATCCAGATCTTTTACTATTCAGCAAAATATCTATCTCTTCAATACCTGTTTCATAAAAGGGAGAGAATCTCTTTTTTGGTGGTGAATGCTTCTAAGGATGCTTTATTTAACAAACTAATATGCTCCTTAGAGTGACGTGGTATCTCTTCAGTAATATTTAAGGAAAATTTCCTCCAATACAACCTCTCATTATTAGTAGTTTCCTAACTTTTAATTATTATGGCTCATTTTTAAAAACAGTATTCTAGTTTCTTTTTGCCATTCAAGGTGCCATACAGGTAACAAATAAACTAGATCATTGGAAGGTCCTACACCAGGATAAAGAACATTCTAGTCTTATTTTACCAGAAAGAACATTCCGTTTTACTCCCATGTAATTTTTCTTACATCATCTGGCAGATAATGTGTTCAAATTCAAAAATCACCCGTTACTAAACTGTTAATAGTTTCCAATGGAAAATCATAAAGTACTACATGTTTTTGAGTCTACTGAATCATAGATTTTAGCTTCTCACTCACAAGCTCAACTGTTTTCCATCACCAGAAACATTTACGACCTTCAGTTTAACCTCTAAGAATAGTAAATAAAACAAGCATATAGACATTGTGAGAAAACAATGTTCATATGAAAAACAAACACAAAACTTCCCCCCACAATTCTGAGGAATGACAGACAAAAATATTGACTAATCAGTATAACAAACGTGAATTTGAATGTCCTAAAGGATGAAATGAACAGAAGCATGATGTACTTCTTCATCATGAATGCCATACAGAAAGCCATTAACAAAGGTCTGTTTCTTACAAGAGGCACTTTCAATTTCCTAAACCATCAAAAGCTCTCAAGGTGCCTGACCAATATTAATTACTGATGATTCATCTGGACAGAGGGTTTGAGGTCATCCATGCTGATGGAACAATGATTAGTAGGCAAATTTACTTTGTCTCAAAGCTGTTTTCATGGTGTACTATGAAATGTCAATTGCTTTAAAAACTGTATAGTAAAAGTAATGAAAAAGGAATAGTCAGAACATTACCTTAGAAAAGTCTGGTTTTACTGGCGGATTTTCCCTTAATTCTGTCTCGGTGTATTCATTATTTACATAATAGCCAACTCTAATAAATTCTTGACCTCGATAGGTGCATGTAATTAGCACAACTGTGACACCTACTGCATCTGCGTCTGGAATGAGTCCTGGGTTAGGGGCATCAGCCTAGAATAATTTAAAAAGAAAAGAAACATACATCACAAAAGGCTGTTAAACTGCAAGGAAGACTGGAGTTTTGATTATGCTGTGCACCATCAATTAAGGGAACAGCACCAACAAAAACTTGAAAATAATACTAGGGAAAGCAAATGCTCATTTTTGAGACTGACATATAGCCAGAAAATATAATGCACGTATTTCTCCACAGTATACTTAAGGACCTGGGTACTTGAAAGCACAACTTCTGGAGTAAAATAAATCTGGCTACGGCATGTTGTCATTTATAAGGGATTATGCAATATTCAATATAAAATCTTTCATAAAATATAGTTAGAAATTAAATCTAGCCTCTTACTGATTCTAACCTTTTCCAGTCATAACTTTCAGACCTAAATTAGCCTGTTATTTGCACTGTTGCCAGCATTAGCTATCTAAGGACAGACCTAGTCCTATTCCTTCACCACATTTTAAAATTTCAGATGATCACTCCCATTTCTAAGAGATAAAAATCTCAGTTCTTAAACATCATTTCTAAGGCTCTTCACAATTTGTCTCCAACCAACACCTCCATTCATATTCCCTTGAACTCCACACCTCTTAATTCTTGTTCTAGAATAACACACACAGGTTCTTTAAAATGCAGTGATAATCTTTCATGCCACTGTTCCCTTAGCCAGAAAGGTCTTTCCCAACCTCCTGAAAAATTCATCCTTTGAAGTTTGCATCAAGTGTATCCTCAGTAAAAGCCCTTTGTAATTCAAAAGTTAGAATTAATAGCAATCTTCTTTATGCATGCACTCGTATTATTTGACACAGATCCTCTACTAACGGATGTATTAACAACCTAATTTACCCTTCAGTCTTGCCTGTGATTCTAAGCTTTATCTTAGGGAGGAGTCCCATCCAGTTCATCTTTATAATCTCATGTGTAGCATGGCTCTGGACACACAATACATACAAAGTATTTTGAAATCCATTCATAACTCAGTTCCTTCCCTGGAGAGGTTTATGATCTCTTTGGAGAGATACCAGAATGGTGAAAGTGTGTGTCCTGAGAATATGTTGTTAGTCTTAGAGATCCTGTGTACCTGTCCCCAGAGTAGTTAGGTTACTTGCAGGGTACCCAAAGAGATTCTGATGTATCTGGAAGTAAGTAGAGATGGGAAATAGAGGTCGTTCAGCAGTGCTAGTGAACTGACCCCCATGTTGATTCCCATCCCCCAGCACACTGGTTCTAGGGATGTTTCTGTTTTAAAGTTTGTTTGGCAAAAGATTCAGCATAAGCAAATTCAAGTAGAAAAACCTGTAGGCCTCTCAGATCGTTGAGATTGGAGAAGTGATAGGCAGAGATCTTTGATTCCAAGCAGCAATACCAGGTAGATGTCTTGACATCTGCTGCTAGCCTTTGACACACTCGAAAAAGGCATGTCTGACCAGGCAAGACCAGGACAATACTGGGGCAGTTTAAAGCACACACAAAAAACTGTACTTAATCCCTTCCTGCTGATAAAAACTGTACTTAATTCCTCCCTATGTGTTTTGTAAAACACATAGACTGAACTTATGTAAATCGCATGTACTTCCTCTCAGCTTTTTGGCAACATCTGCCCTGATACCAAGGTAAAACCACTGGAAAATCACTAGAAGCGAATATTTTTGAGTAATTTTTTTCCTACAACACTGCTAAGCTTTTGGCTTAGAGTGTTTTTAACAACATAAACACATAGAAAAGATTTTTAAGGGTTTGTTTCAAAAACAAGGGATTTATCTGCAAGATTTTATAATAGCATAAAAAGGTGTATCACTCCATGTTAAACTCAGCTTATTATTATGTCATGAATTATCATTGGTGAAGTAAGGGTTCTCCCAGCTTGTGGGTCAAAGCAAATACTGCTTCTTTATGTAACAATTTTAAGAAGCTAAAAGAATAAAAGTTTAGTTCTAAATACAGAAATAGGGCACTATTTGTCATTGTACTTGGTGTTGTTCCTCATTTAACACTCGGAACGTTCTTATGAGGTGGGACATTATCCACATTTTACAGATGACAGAAGTGACTAAGGGAGGTTAGGGAGCCTATCTAAAGTCACACATGCCTACTAAGCAGTGAAGCGGGATGTGACCGGGTCTGTAGCTGCACTGCTTCCCCACACACTCATTCTCTGGTACCCAGGACTTTCACCAAGGTTTCACACTCACCCAACTCAGGTTAACAGAACCTTTAATATACTTGAGGATTTTAGTTAATATATTTGAGCTTTTTAAATCATTTGTTTAGGTACAGTAAATTATCTGTCACTTTTTAGTAAAAAGCACTAAGGCCAGGAGACCCAAGATTCTGAATTCACTATTGAGGAGAGGGGAGGGAAAGGCAGCAGCTCTAAAGGTACCATAAGGTTGAGTGATTCTGGGCCCATGTCTGATGGGATTCTCTGACCAACAGTATACATTTAAATTGATCCCGTCTGTGAAGTGAGAAAACAGGCAGTCAGGAATAGGAAGAGTTAATTTTCTTTCTGGATGAAGTATCTTCAGTGGGATCTACTTAACTGATGGGACTCTTGTATAGAAATACTGTACTTGTAACAAAATAAGTTTTTGAAAACCTGTAGTTACTCTTTGGACTATTGTAAATAGCTCCCTCTAATAAGCATGGATAATTGAAAAGGGACTGAATAGTTTTATACAACAATTTAACATCGATTGAAAGAAGTAACACTTTGGAATACAGGAGACAATGTCTGAAGTCTTGGCATAGACCCAAATATAAGTGGTATCTGAGATCATAATATTAGTAGAATTTCCTCTCACAAATAAGAGTAGTAGATTTGTAACAGTAATCCTCTATAAAATGTATATATTAGATAGTTTAGTAAACTTGGACTTCAATTCCAGTGACCAAGATCACACAGTAGATTTCAACCTACTAACATACCCGTTAACGTAGCTTAATTATGCTGAAATAAAGTTATTATATCATCGTCACTCCTAGTGGCTGAAACCATAAAGTGAAGATGCATATTACTAACTATACCAGTTAGTATACATTTTGAATCCCTGTTTGAACAGCCACCTGCCTGAAAGTCTGATACTAAGGGACTATTCACAGGAAGAGCCTAAATTTAACCATCATGTGTGCCATGACACAGTATAAGGTTTACTGTGTGCTGTGCAAACTCTGAAGTAAAAATCACATTAACATCTCTCCGCACACAAAATCGAGATGGGGTTCCTCTATGACACAGAGACTTCCGAAAACGTGATAGAAGCAGATCAAAAGTGAATGCAGCAGAAGCAGAGCGATATAACCCAAAAGGAAAGGAATAAGGACCACAAGATATTGTCTGTTTAGAAACATATTTGGCATACATACTTACCAAGAATAATCTTACCTGAAATACAAACATATGCCTTCCTGCAGGAACAGGGCCCACTAAAACAGAGTCTAAAACTTGATCGTATTCTTCACTTTCTGCTGAGCCCACATAGATAATTTTCCATTCCAAGTCTAGGGTTAAAAACCAAAACATTATTTCATATTCAGTAATTACATTATGAGATGACATCAAAGACCCTTTTAATGTCCACTTAACCATTTATTGCTGCTAAAACTGGTTTTCCTAGCAGAAAATCCAGAAAGGCACTGAAATGCTCCTTATGAAATTCTAACACTTTTGTACCAGAGTTTGTCAAAATGCTCTTTTGTGAAACACTGGTCCCTGTGCAGGTCTCCTCACACACACACCCAAAAACATGACCTAAAACTTGGGAAATGCTTCAACCTTGTCATAAGGATTCATAAACACACTGCCAGAGTAAGTGTTCTGATAAAGACCAGTAATGTTAATCCAGCATTTCCCAAATTTATTTGGCTATGGAGCCCCTCCCAACTTTATTCATATGTAGTATCTTAACATACTAAACACACTTTGGAAGGATTTGCACAGATACAAATCATCAAAGAGCTCCTAAGTAGAAAAATCATTATTAGCCAACTTCCCTGTGGCTCAGAAGTAAGGGGCTCATCAACTAAGGGTCCTCATTAAAGGACCACAGTCCCTTCATGTCATGCATTCTTTAAATTGGGGAGGGGAAACCAAGGATCCTTTTACCACTTGACAGAAGACAGTGGGAACTGGCATGAAGAGGAGTAAGACACACTAAAGTGCAACCCAAGACATTCTGTGTAATTCAATCCTTACATGTAGTTGAGATTTTATTGAGCATCTTTTACAGTGTGGTCTTGGAGAAGAACCCAGAGATGAGTAAAACACTGCTCTTTTGATGGAGCCTCCTCTTTAGGGGGAGAAAGAAACTACAAATTCAAATCTGAGGCCTCCGGGGCCTCCCAGGGTGTTTGGCACCCTGAGAGGCAGAATCCTGCCTGTTGGATTCTTTGCACTCCCCTAGGGGTGCTTTTGGGTCACTTGTGGAGAATCTAGTTAGTGCCACCATGTGTTGCCATTTTTGTGTAATTGTGTAGATATTTTCGTTCCCCAAATAGATACTAAAAATAGTATAGGTACTACTTATTCATAGGGTATTTATAAACTGCAGTTTAATGAACTAAATGCTCCATTAGGTTTATACTTTTATTAAGTCAGTAGTTATTTTATGAGTGTTTATTATGTCATGGTTCTGTCCTAGACTCGACCATTTTATTTCCAGTTTCTAGCACATTTCCAGGTGCAAGGTCCTACATTTGAAATCTCATTAGATCACCTCTTTGTTGATGAAGATTAAAGAGAGGAAACAAGCAAAATATCTAGTCAGAAAGAGCAGCAAATACAAAAGGCCCAGAGGTAGGAGTGTGCTTGGCAGGAAAAGCAAGGCCATTAGGGCAGGAACAGAATGAGCAAGGGAAAAAGGGAAAATAACCCACCATGAGATTGGGGGTGAGGGGTGTGGCCAGATTACACAAGGTTTTGGTGGCCATCATAAAGACTTTTGGCTTTTATACTGTGTGGCATGGGAAGCCAATGGAGGGTTTTGAGTGGAGGAGTGACAATATCCATCTTTCATTTTAAATGGATCATTTTGGCTGCTGCGTTCAGTACAGACTGTAAGAGGGCAAGGGAAGAAACAGGGTATTTCAACAATTAAGGCAAGAAATTATGGTGGCTTGGACCACATGTAGCCATGGGGGTGAGAGGCAGTCACAGTCTGGATAAATCTTGAAGATAGAGGCAGCAAGAGTCACTTTTTTTTTTTTCACAGGTGGCTAGGGAGGGGAACAATCGAGTTAATTTTGGACATGTTCAGTTTGAGATGTCTACTAGATATCTAAGTGGAGATAATGAATAGATCTGGTGAAAGTTTGGAAATTGTCAATATGTGAAGCCTTGAAAATAGGTAGGATTCCTAGGGAGTGAGCCTTGGGGCTGTCCAAATAAGAGGTCAGGGAAATGAGGAAGAATTGAAAGTAGGTTATAAAATTAATGGCCCACAAGTTAGGTAGGTAACCCAAAATCCAAGTGGCAGAACTGTTCTAAGAAGGGTGTTAAAGCTGTTAAACCAGCAAAGTGAGGATAAGACTAGGAATTGTCACATGGAAGTAATATTTTGTTCATTTCATATGTAAGTGTACCACTACATACAGTGCTCTTGGCCTCCTAATTGGTATATGTTGTTATTTGTGGTCTGACATAGGAACATGGTCATGATTTAGAAACCTTTTATAAAATACCTCCTATGTGCTGGGCCTCCTATGTGAGTTGTCTTGCCAACTCACACCTGTTGTTTAAACTTCAACAGCTTTACCATATGGATTTAAATGTACCTATGCAAGTAAGAAAGTTAAGGCTTTGAGGGGCTAAGTAATCTACCCAAATTCACACAGCTAGTAAATCAAAGAATCAGAATCCAAGCTATGTCTCTGCAACTCCAAAGCTTAGGCTCTTTGCAAAAATTTAACTAAGAATATAAATCCTTCCCTTTCTAGCTCTCAAATGAATAGTGGAATAGAGGAAGTTAATTTGGGGGGGCATGCATGGGTGAGGGCTGAAACTGTGAGGAGATAATCTAGGCTGTAACTCAGGGAACACGTGTACTTTAATTTTGATGCTTGCTGTAACTACTGAGTTTAAAATGCTCAGTATTTATTTATAAGTTTGCATCAGTTGTTTTATTCTTAATTTTTTTTTAAACCTAGTTTTCATTCCCCTGTTCCTGTAGTGGAAGGAGGGATAGGGTCAGATGCTTTACACAGGTTATCAGTTGAAGGAGTTTATTCATTCATTTAAAAAGTTAACTAATTGTTTCATGTAATCATGGGTAATCCCAGCCTGCAAGTATCTCCATTTCTAGTGGGAATGAGGGAAGTCACCAAGGGCATTTTACACTAATTATACTACTTGGGAAGACCTGTGGTCTAGTGCAAAGTCTTTGGGAATTAGAACAAGCCTGAAGTTTGAAATTCTGAAACACCATGCTCAATTCTGGTACACTGTAGGTATTCAATTGAGGATATCCTAATTATTGACATTGATCAACTTTTTTTTTTAATGACTCCATTCAATGAATAAGCAGAGAACCAGAAATCCCTGACAAAGATAGCAGGAAAGTCAATCAAAAGTTGTACAGGAGGCTTGGTGACTGACCATCAGATCAAATACACATCCCAGGTCTTCTATAGCCCATGACTCTCAGAAACGCCCCTGTTTAATCTGCGGATTGCTAATATAATGCATAGCCTTATATTAGAAACAACTAAATAATCTTAAGGGCAAATACTCCTCCAGACTTTTCTTAAGCAAAGAAACAGGGCATCTTTTAAAGGAAAGTGAACATATTTGGGGGCTACTGAAAAGTTAAAGTATGAATAATGGTGGCCAACCTCTGCCTTGGGATTTGAGACAAAATTATAAAGTGAAAATTTCTCTTCAGGATATTCTAGCTTCATTTCAAGAACAGATTTTTAAAAGAACTGCAATAGTATAAAAGTATGGAACCTAAGAAGCCTTTGCTAAGTAAACTCAATTTCCTTAATTCACACAGCCTCTAGATGGAGTACACAAGCCTGGCACCTTTTTGAAAGATTCCTTTGCAGCTTTGGTATGACTCAGCCTGAACTCTAAAAATATACTAAATAATTGCCCAGTCTAGGTGCCCTGGGAAGTGAAGTATACAAGTGGGAGCAAGTGTATTCTTGACATTAGTACTGTAAAAATTCTGAGGTGATTCAGCTGGGTTATGAACTGATCCTAGTTAAAAATGGAACATTGTTCTGCTTCCATGAATGGCAGGTTTCAACCATCCAATGTCAAAGCTCTATAACATCCTTCAGAATTGGCTGCTAAAATGGAAAGCTTCGCTTGAGAAATACCTGTAATATGAAGAACTTCTAATGCCTAAAACACTGTAGTGTTGGAAAGGGCAGTTTCTCTTGTATTTACCTATTTCCATATGCAATTGGCAATAATATGAAAAAATTACGGACTTGGGTATAAAAAAAAATGGTCCTGGTAGCTAAAATATAATACTAGGGGAAAGGAATCAAATGGTTTCAGAGTAATAACAAAAATCCCCTTTAATTTTATTATCAGTGGCTTATTTAGAAATTATTTAACAAATGAATCGTCTTTCAAAATGTGCACTACATGGTACATATATACGAGAGTGCCAAAAAAAAGTACACACATTTTAAGAAAGGAAAAAGCTATTAAAGTTGTAATACTCAGTATATACCAATAACAAATCACATTTGTAAAGAAGTCAATGTATTCATTGACTTCTACAATTACAAGAGGTGCTCAAAGTGGTTACCACCAGCATCCAGACACTTCTGATTACAGTGAACTGCTGGAGCAACCTTCACCAAAGTGTCCAAATTGTATACATTTTTTTGGCACCCGGCCTTATGTGCTATATGCTTTATATGCGCATTTAAGCTGTATGGAGGAGCACAGATTAAAGTGGGGGTTTTTTTGGTTAATTACTGGAGATGGGGAAGGCACTGACTACAGAGGACTGTTACTTTATATATGTCTGTACAACTTTTTAAAAGTTTATTACAGTGAGCACGTATTTTTATAATTTAAAAAAATAACACCCTATGTAAATACATTAAAAACTACTTTTTAAAGTGGAATGCCTTACATGTCTTGATTAGTACAACATTTTAAATGCCCTTTGCTAAATGGATTTCTAAATTCAAAGCAGTATGTCCCCTATTTAATTGTAAATTACCACTGATGAAGTTAAACGTTTACCCCCTCAAATTTTCTAATGAAGCACTGGATTATTTTATTAAAATCGCAAAGATTAGAGCTTGGAAAGTTTTACCTTTCTAAATATTTATTACTGCATATATTTAAAATATTTACCTTCTTGAAGACCTTAAAAAGTACTTAGAAAAAAATAGTAAAAATTTTTGCATTGCCATTGGGACTTTACCTTTTATCTCCTAGCCCACTTTTGTGTTTTATGTTCAAGATGTTTGGATGTGAAGTTATTTTAATTAGATTTCAACACGTTCTTGAAGAAAGTCTTCTTTCAGACTACTTACAAACCAGTAATTAAGTCCTGGTAATTATTTAAGAATTTTACTTATTTCTGCTCTTAGGTTAAATGTAACTTTCTAGCTTAGCAATATTTTTCTTTCTGAGAGACAGAGAAGATTTCAGTCATTAAAGAAAAGGAGTCCACGTTGGTAGGGGGGAGCCCGAGCGAGAGCATCCCGGGCGCCCGGAGCATCCCAGGCGCCGGCCGGGGAGCACCCACGGCCCCCGGGGAGCGCCGGCGCCCGGCCCGCGGCGCCGAGCCTGCGCCCGCCTCCCCCGCTGGTTGGTCGAGGGAGCCAGAAATCAGCGCGAGGGCAGCCTCGCTCTCCTCCCCAAAGCGGCCGGGCATGGCCACCCGGGAGAGTACGGCGACTCCAGCGTAAGCTCTAAAAATGGATTTGCCTTTCCACTCGGGGGCAGGAAGATGGGCAGGCGGGGCGCCGTGTTCGTCACCCGCGGAGAGGAGGCGTCGTGACGCCGGGGTCGGTGGCCCAATTCTCTACTCTGAGTAAGATGGCTCCGCTGCTAACTCGCCGGCGCGACCACACACATGCCTATCCCTTTCCAGCCTTCCCGCGGGGACCGTGGAGGCCGTTTGCGGCGCGAGGCCAGCCCGGCGCGACCCCCGGCCGGCTCCGCCGGCGGGAGTGCGGGTCTCGCGAGCCGCCCGTCCGCCAGACAAAGCTGACAACATGGCTACCTCTGCTCGAACAAGTTCCTAGCAAGTTGAGCCGCGGCGGGCGCCCGGGCTGCGGCTGAACGCCTCGCGCTCCTCGGCGCCGTCGTCCATCAACTTCAAGTTTCCCTCCGCAGCGCCAAGCCCAGAGCCCGCAGCCCGCCCGGCGCCGAGCACCGGCCGCCGCGCGAGGCCGGGCCCGGGAAACTTTCAACGTCTGCAGCCCGCAACTGACAGCCCGGCGACGGGCGGGCGCCCTACTCACCTTCAGACAGGTCCTCGATGCACTCGAAGGTGATCTCGAACTGGAATGGGTTGTAGAAAGGAGAAGGGTTATCCAGCACCACTACATTGTTCACCTGAACCTTTGCCATATTTTGAAAAAAACACAAACAATGGGGACGGGGGCTGGTTGCGGCACAATAAAGTCCAGCGCGCGGCCGCTCGGGAGAGCGCAGACCCCCGCCCCAGCGCCGGCCCGACGTAGTGCAGCGGCGACTTGAGAAACTTTTTTTTCCTCTTTTTATTTACACGGGAAACACTCCACAGTGTTTTGCAGCTTTCCTATTTCACTAAACTACAGCCCATTCTGCTCTGATAACTAGCAGCGTTGTTCGCGATTGGCTGTACCCGAGCTCTGACCCTCCTCCTCCAGCGAGGGCCTCGGCGGCGAGCAAGATGGGCTCCCGCTCCCGGAATGGACTCGGAAACTTAAACTGCGGCTCCACCTGCTGGTGTGGATTAGGACAAAGGCGGAGAACAAAGTGAGTGGAATACGGGCTGGGAGGCCCGCGCGGAGGCCGCCGCCGGCGGGGGGAGGGGGGACGGGGGTGCGGGGGAAGGTTCAGGCCCCGCCCCCGGCCCGGCGGCTCCCGCGCCTCACGTCGGGCGTGGCTGCGGCGGGGCGGGGCGGGGGTCGGGGAGGCGTGGCCATGGCCGAGGCGGCGAGGGGCGTGGTCGTGGAGGGGAGGCGTGCTCGCGGCTGCAACGGCGGCGGGAGGACGCGATCTTGGGTGACGCCCGCCCCTTTGGTTTGCTTCGTTTTTTTTTTTTTTCTTTTTTCCTTCACTCTTTTTACTATAGTCCAACGGCTGTGCCGGCTCTCTACTGAATTTAGCAGATGTGATTCAGTTGTCTGCACTAGGTTCAGCTGTCGATGTATTGGGTAATATTTCGGGTAGAGAGAAGGGTTGGTTGCAGTGGAAATAAATTGTGTTTTGTAGACCAATGCCAGCTCAAAAGGAGCAAAGCCATTTTGGAAATCTAGCTCTTAGCCAATATCTGCGTTTGGGCACAACAGCGCTATTAGTTAAATAGAAACAAAATGAAAGGCGAGGAGATGCTTTTGCGCACACACTTTGCTTGGAAAATGTGAATAGGTAGTATTTTGGCCGCAACTGGGTCTTCCTCCCTTTCCAATCTGGAAAGTCCTAGAATAAGAAAAAGATTATACTAGAGATGTGATCATTTACACCCCTGGTTGCTGCCTCTTGGTGTGAGTAACAGGAACATAAAAGGAGAAAAATGGAAGTGTGGGGCGACCAAAGAGCAACAAATATAATTAGAGAAGGGAAAAGGAGAGTAGAAAACACAAAGGCATACCAAGACATGTAATTTTCAAAAAATGTATGACCTAAACCGTTAGTAAGTAAAAATTTGTAGCACCACACACAACTTATGAGGAGCTTTGCTTTATTCGTCAACATTTAATGTTGATTCATTTATGCTGCTTGACTACCATTGTGGAGAAAGGGAGAGATTTTAACACATTTCTGAGGCTAAACTATTTCTATTTATAAGTAAGTGGTATAAAGATTCGTGTTATTACCTGCTTTTCATTTTTTCCTTAAGCGTCGTGACTGACTGAAACCACTAATGTTGGCTAATTAAATTCTGAGAGAAAATTCGTAAGCATCATCTATGCTGGAAGAGTTTTCTCTTAGTATAGTGCCCAGAATTTTGAGTTGTCATTGTTTGGGCATTGTTCATACTTAAGTAGGTTGCTTTTGATGAGACTTCTTCATCTGATGGTCTCTTGAAAGTTAATATGGGACAGCTAATACCAGGCCTTCCCACATTTAGGGAAACTAGTTAGAGTGGGGGTCCCATTTTATTGTCAGTGGATTAAACAGTCAAATAGGACCTACCAGAAATGGTATATACTCAAGCTCATTTGTTTGTGTGCGTTAGAGTATGAGTCATACTGTGGTGATAGGCACAAATTACTATGACTAATAAACTATTCTCTGTTCACTCTTATAGTTCTGGTCCTAACATTCGCTATGGTAAAGTGTAAATTACTGTATGTACGTCACACTAAATACATAAGATAAATGACCGTTTGAAGATTAAAACATGACTCCCTTAAGAATGGTGTGTGTAGTTTTCTGATTAATGCAGGCCCTTTTAAGAGATTATAATTCACTTTATAAAAATTACATTATAAACTTGATAAAATAAAGTGCATTTTGCAGTCTGATCGCAATTGTGTCAGAATAAGGTACGTCTACCATAAAACTTGTTTTTGGTGAATGTGCAACATGAAGAACTGCGAAGATCTACTTGGATATGGCTTATTTTCTTGAAAGTCTTTTAACATGTCATATACGACAGTATTTAAGGGGAAAGAAAAAAACCTCCCTAATAGTTGACTGAAAGCCACGGGAATTGGCTCCAGGCCTCTCATATTGCCTCTCCTGTCTTAACTGTTTTATTACTCCTCTTCAAAAATGTTAAAGAGCTTTTGAGCACTCTGTCCAATAGTTTTCTCACCATTGACAATACAGGAAAGGCCAAAAGGATCCCCAGATGTGCCCTCGTATATTTCTAAATTACCTGGCATGTTGGAGGGGGAAAAATTGTAAAAGCATCATTCTGCTTTCAGAGGTAATGTATATGATGTTTCTGAACAATTTTTTTTGGTGACTCTCAAACAGCTAACCATATTGCAACAGATGAGTCACTATGAATGTCGTCATGTGTTAAGTACCCAAGAGGGCCCACATTATGTTTGGAGAGCTACATGGAATGTAACCCCCAAATTGCTTCTTTCTGCACAGATTTGAGGAAAGAATGGCTGAAAAAGGTTGTTTTGTCTCTAAGATGAACAAAACCTAAATTAGTGCTTAGGACACAAATAAATGAACTGAGTTAGCTATTATAGGCCAAACTGTATCCCCTTTTCAAATTCATATGTTGAAGCACTAACACCCAGTACCTCAGAATGTGACTATATTTTGTGATAGGGCCTTTACATAGGTCGTTGTTACAGTTAGTCCCTGAGGGGCCCTGATCCAGTCTCTAACTGGTGTCCTTATAGGGGGAGGAAATTTGAACATATAAAGGGTACACATGCACAGAGAAAACACCATGTGAGGACACAGCAAGAAGGCGGCCATTGGCAAGCCAAGGAGCTAGGCCTGAAAAGAAACCAGCCCTGCTGACACCTTGATCTTGTACTTCTAGCCTCCAGAACTTTAAGAAAATACATTTCTGTTGTTTAAGACGGTATTTTGTTAATGGCAGCCCTAGCAAACTAATGCAGCTATAATTTTTTTTCCCCTCAGAATTAGGCTTACTTGTAACCTAAACTTATTTAATCCAGTTATTGGTCGGTTATCACTTAAGTCAGTTAAGTGCTTTCTGTGGTGTAAAATGAGGTGGTCACTAAGCCATGCCTGTAGGATGTGGAGTGGTGTGCTGGGGCTGTTCTTCAGAGGAAGTACCTCCTGCTGGGCAGACAGCTTCAATTCTGCAGAGACAAGATGCAGCTTGCTTCTGTGATCCAAAGCTCCTCTACAGAGGGCTTCTAAGAATCTTGACGTTAAATTGCAGTCACACACAAAACAAGATGGAAGAGTGAATGTACTAGAATTAAATTGGATTAAATTAAAATATACTGAGGTAAAGGGTAGTAGAATTAAGAAATCAAGTCTCAGCCCCTGCTAGCTACAGAAGTTACAGGAATGGAAGTGCTAACCTCTTGGCTTTGTTCAAATCCTCGAGTCCATCTGGGAAATTACATTATCACCGTTGAATTCTCTTTGAAGAAACATTTGCATTGTTGCAAGCCAAATCTTTTTTGTAAAAATTTTATTTAAGGATTGTTGTAATATGGTCTTTAATTAAATTTAAAGGGCTCCCTATTATTATTGGTTATAGGATGTCAAAATGTAATGATAGTTTTAACTAAAAATTTTATGTTTAAATGCAGGATAGAGATTTGCTGGAGTTTATACCCATTCTAAAAGAAGTAAATACTACAGTAATGATCTTAATAATAATAACTTATTATATAGAGAGCATTTGTTATGTGAAATTTCTGTGCTAGGCTCTGTGGAATAGACAAAAATTAAACATACATGGGCATTTTCCACAAAGACCTGTGGTCCAGTAGGAAAGATAACTAAGTAAGAATGATGCAGAATAGAAGGTGACATGGTATCATAATGAAGGCTGTGTATGTATGTGTAGTGTGTGTACAGTATGTGTTTGGTATGTATGTATATGTGTACATTTTGAGCCTCGCTACATCCTGATAGGTAGAAGGGTAAGGTGTTTTCCCCATATAACAAATGAGGACACTGGCACTCAGAAACCCATACCTTTAATTGCTGCCCTAGTGCTTCTCTACTTCTCTTTACTGTGTCAGGTAATACTTACAGTAGGCTTTGTATGCAGAAAAGGCAGTTCGTTTCCGGAAAGAACCCACAGGCTAGCAGACACTGTCCTAATGACTTGATCAATGAATTCTTAAGGAACAAAAGCTCCATGAATGAGGTTGGCCCAGGTATGTACTGGGAGTGGCAGGAGGCCCCAGTCCCGGCAAAGCTGTGGGAGTCTCCCCATTGAGGTACTGCAGATGTAAAGCTTCCTGTTGCACAAGGGATGACTGGGAGGTAGTGGGTTGAACCCTGGAATGCACCCTGCTACTTTTTATTAGGCTTCCGTATTTGTTACATGAAGTGCATCCCTCTCTCCTATTCTGTGCTCTACCTCTTTAATAACAGGTTCATTGTTCTGTGTTTGTTGTTACCCACCATTAGGTTAGAATTTTGTTGATATAAACTGTGTCTGAGCCCTTATCCATAGCTGGACAATACTGTTTTTTTTGTTTGTTTGTTTGTTTTTAAAGATTTTTATTGGGGAATTGGGGGATGGGAACAGTGCTGGGGAATTGGGGGAAGGGGAACAGACAAGTTGCTGTC